TCTTCCCCCCCTCAATCTGATACGGAAAAAATGAATTCCTGGCACCTGACTTCCCGGCTGACAGCTCGCAGTTTTTCAGAGTCCACGGCTTCACGAGTGCGGTCCGGCAGATGCCCACGGCAATGCGCAACCCTTTTGCATGGACAAATGTATCTTCAGGAAAAAACGCCTGTTTTGCAATTTGGCCACACGTTGGAACAAAATTCTTCAATTTGTCCCAGAATTTCCTATCTATGGATGGCTGACCTGGTGATGCGACTTTTTTCCTGTGGGGCCAACCTTTGAAGATCATCCGCAAGTATTCAGTCAAAAAAGGTCCAGCCCCTTGGATTTTATTTTTGACCCCTGCGCCTTTGCCTCTTGAAGTCACTTTTTTGGTTGGTGAAGGTGAACATATGTGGTTGTACCCCTTTTGCAAAGTCATTTAAAAAATCATACCCACTCAATTAATCATGGTACATTTTTTCCTGGGGTTTGACATTTAGAATCATTTAGATATGTTCTAGTAAACTCCCATTTGATCCATCCACCTTCAAATTCCTGGCTACTAACCTTAGGAATTCTACAAACTTACCCATTATCAGAGTCATTCATGATTGATTTCCTGATGCCTTACATACACAGACTGATAGATCAACCCCCCCTCAATCACAACAGGCAGAAATTGATTTCCTGTCACTGTACGTCAGGAAGCTTTCAGGAAAAAAATTCTGGGCCTTTTTTGGTATGATATTTTATTCCTGGCCCCATATCATGCCCCGGGACCCTCACCCACTGTCTGCTAGATTTTTGGAAAATAGTGTTTTTAAAAAAGCGTACTGAACCCCCAGGAAAAAAAACTGGTAGTACAGAGGAGGGTCCTTCCCATTGCAAGTTGTGTAGGAGTGAAGCCATTCACAAACGTGTGCTCGTTCAGGGAAGGCTCCACCCACGTCAGAGCTCCATGCACTGCTTCAATACCTGAGATTTCAGTGCCATCCATGTAAATTTGGACTGCGCGCCTCAAAAGTTGATGGCGGCGCTCAACAACATTAGTTCGAGTGTGAACTTGGTCAGGTGAGGTCTTGAGCTCAATGTCGTGGTTATCTGCCCATGTTGCAAATGCATCGGATCCCCAACCAGCATATTCATCAACTTTCAATTGTTGCATAGGACCATGGAACCTAATCCAGGAACGCTCCAATCCTTTGATCAAAGATGGGGACTTTACATCAAACACTATGCGGGTAGCGATGTATCGAGTGCATTCATCAGCCATGGACAAGATGGCCACGCGTTCTCACCTGAGGCAGGAGGCGCACCTTTCTTGACGCCGTAGTTCTGGCAATGAAGGCAGTTCAAGGACTTAATGGCTTCCTTGACTTTCTCACGCACCTGCTTACCACCAAGCAGCTTCAGCAGGACTTCTTCGCGGATGCCCAAGGTTTCGGTGAGGTCGATGAGCAACTCTGGCAGCTTGGGCACCATGATTTGTTGCAAGTTGGCGCAACGTGCCAGTCTCAACATCATCCACCGCATCGATCTGTTGAGTGAGATCCTCTTCGGACATGACCGCTTTGGCCAGATACTTGGCCAAACTTACGCCATAGTTTTCGGCTTCTCGGCATCGATGTCCACCTCCATGCATGGAACCTTCAAGTGGACAATGGGTGTGATCGCCTTGGCAACGGCGGCTCATGGGCTCATGAGATTGAACGTTGCATTCTTGGAGGTTTGGATTCGTGTGGGCTTCTTGAGTGGCTCGGAAAATCCATCATTGTTGATTGTTGTGGCACAATATTTGCGCTGATCAAACAGAGCAGCATTGCCACGAAGAGTTGAAAATGCCTTTGTCTTCCAAGCGCGGCTTTGCTCAGGGTGCTCGATGTGAGCATGTCGGCCAGCTTGCGCTTGCTTCCAATAGGCTTTGCGACACATGGACAGGTGGGTTCCATGGTCGATCTCACGGCGTTCTTCCAGATCAGCGGCATCTGCAGCACATTTGACGTTGATGTTCTGCATGGGGCTCCGCAACCTGCATCTTGGGGACATGAAAAATTTCATCAGGTTCAGTCAATGTTTTGGAGAAATGCTCTGAGTGTGTGCTGGGTGAAAAATCCCAGCCCTCAGTCACAGTCAAACCAAAACCTTCAACATGAGCACCAAGTTTTTGCAACTTCGGTTGAACGGCGACCCTCACCAACGTAAACTTCCCAGAAAAGAGGTGCTTTGGCATGAGCTCCGTCACGGGCCATGTGAACCATACCTGAAACTTGATTACTCACTTCAGCACTTTGTTGATTGAACATGTTTTCAAGCTTCATCACCTCACGTTCCGGCAAAGGAACTGCTTCAGGGAAATCATCATCATTGGCTCGGAAGGCTGTGTCACTCATTTTGGGCTTTGTGGCATCGGGCTGCATGAACTCTCGGACCACACCAGTCATTGGGCATGGCCGTTCTCGGCCTTCAAGTCGAGCAAGAAACTGCACCGTATCTCGACCTGATCATGGTCGTCATCTTCGCTGATGAGGCAAATCCAACAGCCAGTTTCAGAAGCCTTGCGCCGCCTTTGCCACGGCGGAGTTCTTGCCATTCACCACCCAAAGGACTCATTCACATGCCACCAAAGTCAACCACAGCATTCAACATTTCCAGAATTGGGCGACCAACCAGCATGGGCGTGGCACTGAAAATCACAAAGCACTGAATGCGACGAACCTTGCAACCAAGTTTTGCAGGCAGTTGGACCATCCAGCGGCTGACACTTTCACCATCACCTCCAAACTTGAAACTTTTGTCACAACGTTTGAACTGGAGGTGTTCAACATCCATACCACTCAGCTCTAACCACTGAGGTGTCGCGGCACATATTCAGATCCAGCCAAAAACGTTGATGCACCACCATCTTGACTGCAGGCATCAGAGCCTTTAGCCACCCAGTTGTTGGCATCGGAGATCAGGTGTTGGGCCATCCCGACAAAGTTCTGCATGTTGTGCATCTGCAGGACACTTCTTGCCAGGAGAGTTGCCAGAGCTCTTGGTACGACAGTCGGCAGCCATGTGACCATACCGCATCGCAGGCACATCATTGAGGCTTTAGAACTTCCGGACCTGGGCGGCAAATTGCTTCCAGAGGCACAGTGACTTGAAGACGTTTGCGACAACAGGGACTGGTTCAGCTGACGCTTGCTGTCGGCGTAGGCAGCATAGACCCGATCGAACTCCTCAGTGTCGAAGACGGCATCGGAGCTGGGCATGTCGTCAGCTGCTGTGGAACCATTGTATGTAGATTGCACATCCCATTCATCATCTTGCCAGTGTGCATCGTTACCATCGTATTCCAGTATGTTACCATAGTCATCATAGGCAAGGTATTCATCATCGTTGTATTCATCTTCAGTCCCATAATATACCTCATCTTCAGCAAAGTGGGCACGGTCGGACTTCCATCGACCACGCGTGTTGTTGAACTTTGCAGGCGAGGAAAGCCGCTTCGTCAGGGAGAGAGATTTTGTACTTGGACAGCTTTCGAAACGCTTGGCCAGCCTGAGCGCAATGATCCAGGATTGTCTGATTCATTGCTCTGTAGGTCTTGTAGAAATACTTCTTGAAGGCTTCAGGCACCTCGATCTTTTCATCGTATTGCCATTGCGCATCCAGCCTATCCAGGGTACGGCCTAAGCCGTCTGCAGTTTCCAGATCTTTCACCTCGAGGTCTTCGCATTGTCCCCAGGCCGCACCAGTTAAGGTGGACAACACTGAGATCCCAATTTCAGACTCCCTCTTCTGGATGGCCATTCTGCGGGCATACAACTGTATACGTTTGCGCCATTCCTTGTATCCAGAGGTCGTGTTGTCAAACGGTCTCAGCCATGTCACCAGATCCAGTCGCCATGTCGGAATAGAAAGGTAGGAGCGCAAAGTAAAGCTCCGCCTGCCAATCTGAAGAACTCAGCGAAGAGTTCTGATCAGTTGCATTCTAAGTCAAATGATCCTTTGGGGTTTCTACAGGCCGGCACGCTAAGTCCAGGCATCTGTTTTCGCACGGGCGAGGCTCAAGGGCCCTTTTAGGGCAATTTGATCCAAGCAGCATCGGGCATTGGAGAATGTAGTGAGCTGACTGGGCAGGAAGGCTTCTCGATTGTGCGTGTCATCCTCGCATGTATGTCAACACCTAAGTTGACGGCGTCAAATTCACCACACTAAGTGTTTGTCCAAATTGCTGTACATGCTTCCAGAAGGCCCCCCCACACACACAATTGCACACAAAGTATGTACTTGGAATCATGTCAAGCCTGCCGGCAAGGCCAGGTTTCATCACAACCTGGCACTGTCTCAGCCCTAAGCCCAAAGCTCGGCAACAAATCAATGCACATGAAACAAACCCATCATCCCAATCAGCACCAAAGTATCAAGAGACAATGAAATCTATCTCTAGATTTGGAATATATCCTGGTGCCTGGTGTAAAACACTTTACGCTGCGCCTTCAAGCCTGCCACGTCGGACATGTTCGGGCATGTGAGTGTAGCGTGTAATGTTGGCCAGGGACACGCTGCCGCTTGTTCGAGCGGCTTGCGCCTGACGCAGGGGCTTCAACAAATGATTTCGAAGCCTTGCTGAATGGTGCTGTAGGCTTGGACTTCATCGTTTTAGTTTGAGCTTGAATATGACTGAGTGCTGGAGCTTTGCTAGTCTCAATGCCATAGCCGCTGCAACTTGACCTGGGCCAACATTGAGACGCCACCTGACCCAAGTAAACAAATAATGAACCATGACTCACGTTAAAGAGCTCGGTAGGCTGCCCAGGAACATGTTGCAAACTAGCCGACTTACATGCCTTTGCATTGCGTTGTCGATAGCGCTTAGTGGGCGGCTGGCGCATGGCACCGCCTCAGAAAAGAAACCCGGCCCAATTTTGTCAAAGGGAACTTTGTTGGCTCAGTAAAGTTGTTGTGGCATTATTTCAACTTGCTTCCTGGACATTGCCCGCTTCTTCCCACTGGCGCTCCGGCAGTTTTCATGCCGAGTGGCTACACAGGGCAGCCAAAATCAACTTGTCACATGCCTGCAAGGCAAGTATATCTGCATTGTGAAACTTTTGACTGCCATTCACTGCCGGCATTGGCTGGATGTTTTTTCCACCCATTGGTTTCAAAAAGGCCTGCTGGCTCCAAAGCCCAGGGATCAGCAACACAGCCCTGGAAGTGACACATGGTGATGCACATCTCCGCAGCATAGAAAACTTCTTGTGGGCAGGCTTGCTTCCAAAAACGGTTCATTCAAACTTGCTGCACGTTTTGACATAATGACAAAAAAAACAACATTAAACTAGCACGATAGGTCTTCAGCATTTGGCGGGTCGGCATGTAGCAACACCAGCTGATCCTGCGAGGTGGCAAAGCCCAGCCTGAAGTTGTTTGGCGATGTTTCATGCTTTCTTTTTAGTTTGCAAATCTTGCTGCGTCCTTGATATCCGGCGAAGGGTCCACGGCCACATGGCATCTTGTCACGCGGGCGAGCGTCTCTTCAAGGACGCCCTCCTGCCGATGCGTCTTCAAGAACATCATACGACATGGGTTCGGTGAAACTGGCGTGCTGATTTGCTATCCCCGTACTGAGTTCTAAACCTTGCGAATATGAGCCAGAGGTTGCATTTGGCGCCACCAAGCAGAACGCCAAACACCCTGAACCAAGGGGCCGGATGCAAGAAATGAAAAGCCAACTTTTTGAACCCCATTGGCCTTCAAACGGGGTGCTCCAAAAAATGAAACAACAGATTCTTCGAGGACCACTACGCTCTTTCAAAAGCGTGCTGCATGCATACCATGTTCTATGCCCAAGCGATGCTTCATTGCCTTAGGGCTTAAAGATGCAAGTTCTTCAAATTACGATACTTTTCAGGAGTACAGCTACCTACATCACAAGCTGTTGTCCTCAAAATATGCTCTGCTGTCTTTCTGTATTCATAAAAATGTTGTGAAACTTTGAAAAACATATTTTGCATGCTTACATATACGGCGTGTTCTTCATACAGAAATGCATGTTGTGAAAAGGGCATTGCGTGCGCAACGGGGCTCATTTTGACACAGAAGTAGACACGTCTCAATTCAATGGAAGGCTCCGCCGTTTGAAAAGAAATGCGCATTTTGAAGGGAGCACTCATGTCAAAGAGATGCATCACTCCTTCCAAGGGAACAATTTAAAGTGTTTGAAGATGTGTTGGCTGAAGGGTTTTGCCCAACAATTTCAATATCAATTTATTCCTACAAATCCATTGGCTGCCTATGTTCTTGCACATCCTTTTGGCATATTTTGAAGAGTAAATCAAAAACGAAATTGCCTCACCTATGCCCCAAGCCCCTAAGTCTCCCCCAAGGATACTTGCTGCATTTTCCATAAGTTTTTCTACCTTGCGTTCTAATGAAACCGCAGACCCCAGCAAACAATAAACAACCAAAAGCAAGTTTGCAAAGCCTGAGGGGGCAAAAGTGGCAAATAGTTAGGTCCTGCCACTTTTTTGTCGGCCAGCCCTTCACCGTAAGGCCGTAACAAGAAACAAAAAACACATACACAAAAAACAAGATGATAGGACCCAACTCTCTGAATCTCCCCTCCCTTGGGGTGTGCAATCCGTTTCTTTTTTTTGTTTCTTGCGTTTTTTTTTAACTGCAACAAGGAAAGAAACTGCAAAGATCTGCAAAGGTGAGATTGCAAAGAGCAAGCTAACCCATTGCAGGTGATTAAGACACAAGAAAAAACACACTCTCGGGCACTCTCGGGTTGTCTCTTTCTGAGAATCAAAGACCGAAACGGGCACCCCAAAACCAGAAACAAAATGACACATGTCAAATTAGAAAGAAGGTTGCCTCCAAACGCCCAGGGGTTCTTTCCAACTTACGCACAGCTGTGCACCAACAAGGCTTGCCGCAGCATTGGGTTGAAGCAAAGCTACGAAGTGCCTCATGCGCAGGCGGGCGGTGGCGTGTTGCAGGCACACCTCCAAAAGGCATTGGCTGTCATGCTGGCGATGGCCCAGTCCAGCGACGTATTCAATCTTGCAGAGGCGGTCTTTTTCACAACTCTGCGTTCGCGTCACTTGGCTTCAGAAGCTTCAAGACACTACCCAAAGCGATAATTGTCACTTTGGGTTCCTGAAGCACGGCCGCTGGCACAAAAAACTGGGGTAGCATTAATAGGTGTTAGCGTCTGCTTGCAATGGGCGGAACAATGCCGCAAAGCTTTTGGTGGATTTTGGTTCCCATGATGCATGGTTCAACCGGGATCCGAACGGGGCTTGAACGCTTACATTGCCAGTCAACCCAATGAGCTGGCATGCAGAGGGGTGCACGGACAAGTTCGTCTGCCAAGGCTCGCAATCATTGACTCCATACGTGATGACCTCAGGACAATACAGACAACATCTTAAACTTCAGCAAGCTATCAAGAGACAGGCGACATTGAGAAAGCAATCTGCCGGTTCTGTAAGTTTCTGCTAGAAGCCGCTACAAGCTTTGAGACTTTGGCCAATTGCTCTTTGTCAACATGAAGGCCACCAACAAACTGTATCACTTCACACAGGCCAGGCCTGGCTGGCAGAACTGGCAGGCATATCTACCACACAAGACACAAGGACACATGCTGGGTGGCAGCTTGGAAAAGCTGGGCAATAAGATAAGGATAGATAAGGAAGGCTTTCAGCATGCTTTCGGCATGATTCGGCTAATTATGGACTTGGAAGCCTTGCTCGATCTGAGCAACGTTGATGCAAAGATTCCAAAGGAGGACTTTGCCAATCTTAGCCAGCTTCCTCAGTCTTTGACCTGCCTTAATCAGAAACTACATGAAACTACCCCATGAAACACCACAGGCGCGCACAGGCAGAGAAATAACAAACATATCATTTGAAGGTTTCGGGCCGCCTGCTAGAACCGAAGCACAATAAAGGACTGACCTGACGCCACTCAAGAACCTCCAATCAGAAGCAACAATTGCAGTTTTATGGCTTCACCATCTACATGCAGGGCAAGTTGCTGAAGACATTATGACTGGCGCTGAAGAGGAAGGCTTGCTGGATACCCGAAGCGTGAAAAAGAAATGGCTATAGAGCAAGTTTCCCGTCTGCACCTCACTTGATTTAGGTGGAGGTGGAACAGCATGGGGCTTCTGAGACAAAGGTCTTGACTGCCCCAGCATGCGCTGATCAGCTTGTCACATGTAAATTGGTGAGGCCCTCAACCGACAGTAGCTGGGAGCAGCTTGAACTTAAATCCATTTGAAACAAACATGCGAACTGCTCGTATTTGAAGATGTGAGGTATGACTGGTGATGATGAAGATGAAGATCCTACAAATCCTTGTCCTTGCAAGCGCAGTGATCTCAACTTCTGGGCAGCGACAATGACAGGCCAATGTCTCCAAGGATCTCTTGCCATGCCCAGTAGGTCTCCGCTGGGGAGCGGCACCAAAGCAGGTCCTCCGTGCCTCAGGATGTTGCCAAGAAGATTGCGCTGACAACACTATCGGCAACTAAAAAATCGATTTTGCAGTCCTTGATGTTTACTATTCTGGTTCTCTGCGGCCTTACGGGAAAGAGCGCGATTTTTCTGCATGCTGGCCTTTGTTTTTTGCCCTTTTGCCTGAGAAGCTGTGCGCCTTAGCTGCCTGGGGGGAACATGTCAAAATCCGGCTCTTACTCTTGTGATTTGCTGTGCAAGCCAAGTCGCCCTCGAAACTCATCCTCTCTGGGATGCAAAGCGCTGAGAGCAGGTGTTCTGACCTCAAAGCAGCACCGCACAATACAATATAGATAGCTGTTGAAGGAAACAGCATGTGTAGCCATATGCCATCCTGAGATCTATGATGACATGATGACAGGATGGCTGACGGACTGACCGGCCGACCGACTGGCTGACTGACTGATGCCCACACACACACACATCCTCACGAGCTACCTTTGTGTAAGGGGGGTGCAGAATAAAAGAAAAACCTTTGGTTGAAGTCGAAGCGCGCGATTTGAATTGCTCTTGGCATCATCCGGTTTTTCCCTGAATCCAGATATGCACACTCAGATGCAATTTGTCTTCCTGCCTCACCGAACATCTTGAGTTCAGCTGTGATTTGGACCAAGGAACCACACTCACTTCGGCACATTGCCCGGTTTTGACATTCACATGCATCACGCGCAAGGGCTCCTTATGGGCATGGCCACGTCTATCAACTGCAGGGTGTTCGCCAGCACTGGAAACACAGGTGTGATAAAATCCAAGGCGCAAAACATGCCCCAAATGCAGCCCTTTCCTTGTATCCTCAAACCATCTGTCTACCCAGATTAAATCCAGTTGCGTTGTACATACAGTGCGATAGAAACTCCCAAGGGGAATGTTCGGAATACACAAACCAATCCCTTGAAACTGTAAGTTCAGAAAAAAAATAAAGGGAACCCTGAGGGAAAAAATACAAATGTCAACCTTCACATTCAATGGAGGCTTTCGGCTTCCAACGGGATAAAGTCCAACCGTGCAAAACGCAGGCTTTCAAGCGGGTTCTGAGAAATATACTGTCACAACGGTTTAATCTTACATTCGAATGCGTTCGATGAGCACTTGGTGACTTTTGTCTGTCCACAACAAAACAATGAATTGGGAATGACGTTCGATAAACTCAGTGTCAGAATCAACGAGGCTTCCTCCATAACCCAGCGAATTTCCCAGTCACAGCCGAGTCCGCACAAACGGCACCCCCTGGCCGAACAAACATAGCATGACACCGTGATAGAGAACAGTGGAAGAGACAAGGCTCTATGGTGAAGATCAAATACAGCTGGCCATTCGCAACGAAAGGCATCCAATTCTTCTGATGCACGCTTCCTCCACCAAGTCAAACACGGAAAAACATGTGCAGAAACATGTGCTACAGTAACTGCTACGTAGTTCTTTGTGGCTGCGTTGCTTGGCACCTAGCCGGTCTTGTCTCAGCATTCTCTCAGATAGTTCATCTGCAAATTCCTCGGCCAGATTAATCGTGTCTCATTTTGCATGGTTTATCTTTGTTCACCTTTTTGTCGGGTACTCCGAACCATCTCCAAGCGGCAAATGTCAGCATGGTCTTTGTTCGGCACCGGACCTGGCTCTGATATGCACCCTCAGAGCGATCCGAAGGATGCACACCAGGCAATATTACAACTGAATTGGAATATAACGGGTACCAGTAGTGCCCGGCACGCGCCGGGGCCGAAGTTTCGAAAAACTGAACCAACCATAGGAAAAAATGGCCTATAGGAAAACTCTTGAACTGCAGAAGCGACGTGTTGAAGTTGTAAGATGTACCTATGAATGAGCAAATGGTTGTTGAGATGCCAGTGAAATGACGTGAAAGAATCCAGCCACAGCTGACTGAACGAATCAATGAACCAATGAATCAGTGAATCACTGAGTCAATGAACCAGCGAACCAATGAACCAGTGAATCAATGAACCAGTGAATCAATGAATCAAGAATCAATCAATCCGGGTGTCGCAGAATCAATGAAACAATGAATCAATCATTGAATCAAAGAACCAAGGAATCAGTGATTCACGGAACCAATGAACCAACTAACCAATGAATCAATGAATCAGTGAACCAACGAATCAATGAATCACTGATTCGGTGAGTCAGCGCATCAGTTCATCAACGAATCAAAGAGTCAATAAACCAATGAACCAGTGATTCTACGTATCAGTGAGTCAATCATTGAACCAAGGGGGCAATGAATCAGTGCATCAACGAGTCGTTAAACCAATGAACCAATGAAACATCCAATCAATGAATCAGTGACTAAACAAATGAACGAATGAATGAATTGAAGGGTGGGTGGATGGGTGGATGGGTGGATGGTGGATGGGTGGATGGGTGGATGGGTGGGTGGGTGGGTGGGGTGGATGGGATGGGATGGATGGGTGGGTGGGTGGATGGATGGGTGACTCAACTACTTGTCTGAAGGCTTCGCTGAGGCGCCGCCTCTCTCAGCTACTTCTTCTCTGAGCAGTCTCCAGTTGCAACCCCCTTGCCAGGAGCGTCGAAGCATCATTCTTGCTTTGCTGCGCGCAGCCGCGCCAATGCGTTGTGTCACAGCCGGTTGCAAACCCGCATAGCAGGAGTGCAACCTTCGCGCAGCGCTGACAATAGGGGACGATTCCGCGCTGCTCCGGGAATTGCGTTTTTTTGGCAGCTTTTACGTGAAATCAAACTCTCGCTGCAGTCTGGTACGCTACGCCCCAATTTTTTCACACTCTCAAATGGAAATCAGGCTCTCGGTACAGCCCTGTGCACTTTGTCGACAACTTTCCCAGATCGAGGCCCGCAACCGAAGACCTATACTGAATTCACGGGCAAGAAACACACAAGGTTTCGCACCCCCGGGTTTTTCACTCGTTGCAACATGATGACAAGCCTGCCGCTGGACATTTGTCCGTAACTGGGAAATTTTCGAACTAAACTTCCTTTGCTAATATAAACCAATCTGGAAGTATATTTCTATGCTTTTGAATCTGAGGCACCCCCTTGGACGGCATTTGCGATATTTTGGACATTGGATCTCTTGCTGGCAGAAAGTTCCAACATCTTGGAGTGGGCATTTGCGCAATATTATTGCATCATGTTTACAGTAAACCGAATCTCTTATTTGCACTATACCTGTTGCATTTTGGAGCAGCGAGCTGCAATTTGCATGGTATCCTACATGTTGAACATTGAAGCTTGCTCGCATTGTTGTTCCCCACCTGTGAGGTGAGAACATGTGAGGGTCTCTAGATTTTAACAAAGGTTCAACTCCTCTCTTCTTTCTTCTGCTTCTTCTCCTCCTTCTCCTCCTTCGCCTTGTTGCACTTGTCGTGATTGTGGGCACCAATGGACCCGAGCCATATCGCCAGCGTTGGATGGGCTTGGCACGCCTGGACCTGAGCCACATCACAAGAGCTGGATGCAGCTGCGGGCACACCTGGACCAGAACACCTGCCAGAAAAAATGCCAAATTGAATGTCAGAATTGTTAGAATGAATGCCAG